AAAACCCTCGATGAATAAATTCGGCCAATAAACCATTAAAATCACAGTCGATTCTCTTTTAATGACCTTTTTTTATAGTAAATTCTGTGTATGATAAATCTTAAATTTTTTCAAATTACTATCTGTTATGATACAGGTAAATCTATTAATTATGCCGAATTTTCGTTAATAATTTTGTAATTGATAATAAATTTTTTTTTTTTATACCAATTTGTTAGTTTGATATAAAGGTCATATAATAGTAGAAATATAATATCAATTCGATTTTATAAATTTGTATTTATAGTAAAGCCTCTATAAGTGCACCCTTTATAAATGCACATCTTACTCAAAAATTCGCGCCCAAATATATACATGACTTCTATAAAAGTATATTGAAGTTTGGCCCTAGGAGCGTGCACTTATAAAGGTTTTACCATAATATTAAACCTTTATACTGAGCAGGAGTACAAATATAACTTTAACACAAAACACCTTAATTCATATGTATACAAGCAGAACCAAAGTTTTCGTTAATACTCAACAGCTTAAAATATTTTTATTTTATACATTTTGATCTGTTTATTTATTAGAGTCCTTAAACTAGAAAAAATAAATTATCGATGCCTGACAAATGATCGAAATTTATTGATAGCAGGTAGTTATACGTATCTGAACTCCAATTTATTTTTAGATTATAAACGTCTCTGTGATACATAAAAAGATATCATAAATCCCGCAGTACAAATATGTTCATCTATTTCTATATCAATTTTTTTTTTCCATTCTACTAAAAATTCTCCACGGGACATTTTTGGTTTTCTTTTTTTTTTTTGACTATTTGATTTATAATGATTTAACATTAAATGTTCCAGAGGATCAATATCTTGATTTTTTGTCAACATTAGAACAAAACGATTGATTCGATAGCTGTTCAAAAACAATATATGTTTGTTGATTCTGATTATAACACTTTTGACCCCATTTAGAATCTCCTAAAATTGTTGTTAAAGTTGAATAGGCTGATTTTCCATGAAATCTACATTTGTATACACGTGGGTTGCTAGAAAACTGATGAATATGTCCCACAAAAATGGCAAAATTTTTATCAACTAGGAACACTATTCCATGTACTGAAAGTCAATTTGTTGCCAATCGATTAGTTACCAACTATAGTTGCAACTAATCGATTTTTCATATCAGGTGACTAAATTTGCCGATTAGCCAATCAAACTGAAGAAATCAACACGGATTGGCCCGATTAGACGGAATATTTCGGAATTGAACTAGTTGATAATTAAATCGATTAGTTGTTTTAAATTTTTCTAAATCGATTAGTTGAAAAGTTGTCAACTAGTTGATTTTTAACTAAACGATTCGGATCACTAACATGGAATCGATAATACTTTTCGTCCCATTCTAGTAAAGCTTAATGGTAATTGACGATGTATTTGATGAATTAAAATATTTTTAAATTCTTGCAATGAACTTGTTGGAATTGTATCAAGATCACTATGTGGTATATTGTACTTTTTAATTGTACTATAGTGCCGCTTAAGACCATTTTCTGACTTGAATTGCCGAAAACAAACAGGGCAATAAGTGGAAGAGATCGGGGTAGAAGTTATATTTTGCAAAGTTAATTGTAAACTCATAATTAAAGAATAACTTGTAAGATTTATTGATTAAATTTTGTTAGTAATTAAGTCGCCAGAACACAACAGTTGTATATAATAATAACGCTTTTTATTTATTCTCAAAAATTATTAAGCGAACTTTGAAGTTCGGATATCTAACAATTACACTATAAAGAAACTAAGACTGTTATAGTTAGTATAGTAAAGACAATACAATGTCAAACGACCTGACCCACATTAAAAATTTTTGGGGTGCGACATATTACCCCATATGCATGCCGCAAATTAGCCCATATGTGCCAAACGATATATCCTAGTAGGGATTAGACGTCAAATGATATGCCCAAGTAGAGCCCTAACCAATAGAAAACAGATGGGTTTTGGCTAGGACAGATGGGTTTGACGCATGATTTTGCATAATCATTATATCCTTAAAATTATTTACGGTATAGTTTTAAATAATCGAGTAATTGTTTCATACATTTGACCAATTGAATATAGAAAAAATAGGGTTCAAATTAAAAATTTGGGGTCATTTGCTAAGGCCCAATGCGTCCAATCCGCCCATATGTAATGCCCGTTGATCGGCTGCCTTAGTTCAACGATTAAGCGGTTTCTGATTGGTTAATTATTTGAATATTCGAATATACTATTCTAGATTTTATGCTACACTTAATCTTTCCGATTGCGAAATTTTTTAGGGTGGTGACGCTTGGGTGGTTGTGAATTTCACCTCCGGTAAGCGTTTAAATTGTCAAATTCTAATTTATTGAAAATAGGTTATTTTTAATAATTTGTATCGATAAAAAAAAATAACTACAGCGGAATTGACAAATGCGGATGTAATTATTGCGAAATTAACTGTAAATTATATGAAGGTTTAAAAAAAAAAGCAGGTTGCGATCCGTTTTATAATTTTATGTTATAAAAACCAGGAAATTTGTGCGGTCTAGTTCAGTTAGTCACCCTATTATACATGGCTGCAGTCAAAATATTACTTTTATTTTTTTTTGTTTAAATAGCCGTTTTTAGCCGTTTTACGAAAAACAATAATGTCACCTTGTCTTCTTGAATCGTCATTAAATTGAGAGTTAAAAAATCTCGCACACTTTCAGGGTCCAAATATAAAAAAAGCATTAAGTAAATACGACGCGCTGAAATAAAAAAAACTGGTTTTCAAGGCTCACCTCATAGTACTCCAATTGTTTCAAGACGGGCTCAATGTCTTTCAACAATATCTCAAAAATTATTAAATGACTTGGCCATTTTCGTAATGAATTATTCGAGAATGAATTGTTAAAAGTCGGTTGCTCAAAATTAGCATAAATGAAATCAAGAGGGTTTTTATAGAATTGATCTGCTTCATCTAAATAATCTTCTAGATTGATATTATGACTGGATTTATAATAAAAATAAAATAATCATTAAATCCTTACTGGTTTTTTTTTTTTTTTTTTTTTAGAGAACTTACTTCACGGGGGGTTCACAAGTTAAAAACCACATTTCTAAATTTCTATGCAAATTACTATAAAATGGAGTTGAGTGGCAAGGTACCAAAAATCCAATATTTTTAACATTCCCTTTATCAGCTTCATCTCTCAAATAGTCCATAACCTCTATGACACCACTTTGATGAATTGTTGCAGTATAATATGCCATAGGAACATTTGTAACTATCAAAAATATTATGGAAAATTTTAACAATGTAGAATTTTTTGAACTTGTGGAAGAGTTCGTTAAACGAGAAATTTTCATGTTGGAAATTTCGTCAATACCAATTCCAGAGATAACTACCAAAATAGGTAGTAAGGGGTATATAAACCTAAATTCCTTATGGCCAATTACACTATAACACAGTATAACCCAAATACATAATTGTAAGAGGGGCTTGATGCGATTCCAATATCGAGGATTTTTTCTTGCAGAATATATCCCAATAATGGTGAACGGAATTAAGGTAGTCAATACAACCGGTAATCCCTGGGAAAAATACCAATGCCATGGGTGGGCACCATAAAATAAAGAAATTGATCCAATTATATTTAAATGGAAAAAATTGAGCGGTACAAACACAAATGTTCCATAAAATTTATAATCTATCATTATCATTGTTGTAACTGCAATAATGCTAAATGAAAAAAATATATATATAATAAATAAATAATAATGAGAGAACAAAATTATAAAATTGTCATGAGAAATACGGACAAGATTATTATAGTATTTGTGACAATAGATACGGTATGTTTTGGCATTTTCCAAAGAAGGTGGACACCTAGAAAACTCCATATTATCACATTAGTCGGCCGAAAAATGCAAGAAATTGCGGCCAAACTTAACGACGCGCGTAGCATTCTAAATGACACATTTCGGATATTACCTTAATGAAACAAGTAAATTTATGAATCACGGTTTAACATTCTTACCTTTCTCGCTCATTCCAATTTCTCGGTGTAGGCAATGAAGGCCAGGGCCAATAAGACAATGCTACAATAGTCAGAGTTGTCTCAATGCTATTCGAAAACATGCGAACCGAACAAAAAAAGTTAAACCAAGATATTATAGAGCAAAAAAGCTAAATACAAAGAATAAAGGCAAGGATAAATAATTTAAACAAAGTATTTAACAAAAAAACACATGAATTAAATGATACATACAGTCCATTTCGCAGATGAATCAGTAAATAAATTTCTAGCCAGATAATATGAATGAAAATCACTTATGGCAGCGAAAACAGCTTGTAAAAGTCTTGGCGCGTATATCTGAGTATTAGATAATGGCTTACTCTTTATAACGTATAGGAACAATCAGAATTTAAATAAAAATTGTAGTTACAAATAAATTTCCACCATCAAGCCTTACTAAAGCCAACATTTTATATAACGTTGCAAATATTAAAGGGTGTGCAAAACTCCTTATCCGTTTTTTCCACTCCCATGTCAAGTAACCGTAAGTTTAAATTACATTAAGAATAATTTTTTTTTTTTTGTGAAATAAAATATATATCTGTCTCAATAAGAAATTAAACGGATATCCAAAAACCATGTAATGAGCAACTTCGACGGATTGCCAATATTCGTCCGGACTAAAAAATGTTTTTGTTATAAGCGCATTAAATAGCCTGAATAATATTAGAGAAGATAATAATAGTTTCTTATTATTAAAAATTGAGGATGTGTTGCCATCGAAAGAGGTTTCAGTTTTTGGTGAATCATCGGTGGTAGCTTTTAGGTTTTCATTACGTCGTCGATGAAATACAACCATATTTAATTCTGAGATTTCGAAAAAAAAAGATTAAAGGCTATACATAAGACCCATGGGATACCCGGGTGATCGACTGATATATTCGGATATAAAATATTATCTGATATACCGGTTAAAGATAGGCCAAAAGATGGGCACCATGTGCATAGTGCACATAATTTACATAATCCCCCGATCACTATATCAAGATCACGGGAGGATTAATTAATAATATCCTGACCGTATGTGAATATGCGGAAACGAAGTTTCCGCTAATTCCCAACGGATCAGGATATTATTATTACTAATACACATGGTGTATATGGTTGAATCACTATCTTTAAAGCTAATAAAAACTCTAAAATAGAGTTGATATTGCATGATCTCCGGTAAATTGAATTATACGATTGTATTTTATTGATCATTTGCTTGCCTTAGCTATGAATCGCTTATGAAACCATTCATAATAATTGTCGCGGATCATAATTTAAAATGAAATCTACATTTTCTACTCAACCTGCTAACCTTCTAAAACCCATTT